TTTTCCCCAGGGCGATCCTCTGGAAAGAAACTTGTCTGGAGAAAACGACTATTCAAACTCCAGTCACTTGCAATGAAGTGGACCGTAAGGCTGATGTACGGCTCAGTCGCTCTGCTACTCCACATATCTGCAGTTGAAGCATAACAATCCACTGTAGACAGCAATGTTTTTATCTTACCGCGGCACTCTTCATATAACGCTGGCAGGGCTGTTTTGGAAAAGTATTTCCGCGAAGGCATGTTGTATCTTGGGTCCAGTTTATGAATCATTCACTTGAATCTTTCTTTTTCCACCATTTGGAACGGCAACATATCTTTCGTTAACAAAACGTCACTGCGTCCGTCAGTTCGTTCCATCATGTACTTTTCTTATCGTAAGGGATGGCATTAGCAAAAGTGCTGGTAATTTTCATCTGCATGGGGGTTGTCTTACTCCGCCTTAGTCCACTCGTAGTTGATGCCTCCTTTGCCTCACATATCTTGAGACTTTCCTCATACTCTGGTTCAGTGTTGGGCAAGTTACTTCAAAACTGTAATGCATTATTTATTACTTGTTACCCTCATTTTAAAGTAATTCATTACATTACAATATTACTGATTTTAAAATGTAAGGCATTACACTACTTTTGCATTACTTTAAGTTACTTTCACCAAAACAACTTCAGTATGAATCTGGTCATGTGACGCTCAGTGAGCTCATGACATATATGTGGAAGGTGATGTGGTGTCTGAGCTAGGATTGCTGTTAAAAACAGTCAGATATAATAACAGTTCTTTATTAAATAAATGCAACAACAATCAGTACTCTCAGCACGCTGCCATCTTATATTAACTGAGCAGGGAGTGAGGTGGTGGGGGCTCCAAGCCTATATTTGCCTTGGTCCCCAAATGCCTTGATACGGCCCTGGATGTAGCACTGACTTCTGGGGTGATCTGATTCTATCACATGTATAAATATTAAATGCTTATATATTATTGCTTTTCACTGGTAAAAATGTGTATTTGGGATAAATCTACCTATTTTTTTCTTTTCAAGCACTTTGTTTTGTTTTCTTGATTTTATTTTAATAATTTCCTGCCCTTTCTCTCTCTAACCTTCCTGCATGCTGCATCTTTTCTCAGTCTTCCAGAAAAAGCTGTTTCCTAGACTTCTTTCTTTCGATCAGCCAAAGGAATCTTCACATGCGCGGCGCTCCAGCAGTAATGAGTTGAAATCACCGGGGCACTGATTATGAACTCAGCTGAGGCAAAGCACGTCAGAAAAGCACAAAATACCAGAGAATATGCGCTGATATGAACGATCGCAGGTGAATTATTTTGTTTTAGTGGAGCGATTTTGTGAATGTTACAGCGGCCGCGTGCGGGACGCAGCTGAGCCGTTATCGCGGCGTCCTCTCTGCCCGCAAAGCTGAGTCCATAAATGACTTAATATATGCAGATACTGGATCTTTCTTCGGGTTTCCCGCAATTTGAATTTTTAAGGAACACATCTTGATTCTGGGTTTAAAATGCATTGTAATTACCGCGTTACTGACAATTGTACCGAGTAAATATTACCATTTTCTTTCCCTGTAATGCCTTACATTACCACATTACAGCAAAAAGCAATGCATTACAGTAATTAATTACTTTTGTACCGCATTACTCCCAACACTCTGGTTTGTGTTTGAGGTGGTGGAAGAAGTTGGATGTGTTTCCATCCTTCGTAGCCACAGTTTTTCTGCAAACTTTGCATAACACCGTAGTCTGCTCCTCATCTGCATTTAGGTAACCAAAAGAGTTCCAAATTGCTGAGGTAGCTCCTCGCTTTTTAACAAGCTCCTTCTCAGCGTCACCTCCGCCTTCCGCCATGCTTGTTTTCACTCTGCTCGTGAACCAGGCGCGCACAAAACTTCGTCATCAATGGGACCTATCATTATTATCGCGAGAAGTCAAAATTTTATTGTGAGGAGAATTTTCAACGGTATATCACAAACAATAAGATATCACCCATCCTTACTTACTAGTTGGTTTTAGAGGTATGGTGTGAATTAAGGTTTAGTTAAGGTTATGGTTAGGAATCAGTAAAAAGGGTGGCGAACATTCTACAGTTTATTGAGGAGGTCAAAGGGTGGATGGCTGCAAAATTTTTGAGCATAAATGAGAGCAAAATGGAATTAATCTACTTTAAACCAAATGGGGCATCAACCATCTCCCCTTCTCCTTTGGACCTGTTTCACCTGTTCCTATGACGGTCACCACTGACTTAGGTGTGAAGGTTGATGCAGAGCTGAAGTTCGATAAGCAGATCAACTGTGTGGTGAAGTCCTGCTTCTTCCAACTAAGGAAGCTGGCCTGAGTCAAGTCGGTTCTGGTGAGAAGTGATCTGGAAAGACTCATTCATGCGTTCATCACCTCAAGGCTTGACTTCTGTAATATGTCTAGGTGAGTCAGGGTTGTATCAATAGACGTTAGTTAGTCCAAAATGCTGCGGCTCATTTGCTAACGGGCACTTGCAGGCATGAGCATGTAATCCCTGGTGTTGCCTTCTCTGCACTGGTTTCCAGTTGCTTTTAGAGTTTGTTTTAAATATTGGTGTTGGCGTACAAATCGTTGAATGGACTGGCTCCTTCCTATCTATCGGACATGCTCGTGGCGTATGAGCCAACTCGTCGGTTGAGGTCGGCTGACCAGCAGCAGTTGGTGGTTCCAAGAACAAGTCTGAAGCTGGGAGGAGACCCTTTTCTGCTGCTGCACCTGGACTTTGGAACCTGCTTCCAGGCAATATTATGGGCCATTCCCATCTGTACCGGGTCGGCCCGGGTCGGCCCGGGCCGGGTAGCGTAGGTTGTTTACATATCTGGGTGGCCTGGTATTTTTCCGGGCCAACCAAGGCTCATTCTCAGCCCTCTTCTCGAGAGGGTCTGCTTCAGGCCGACCAGGGCCAACACACTCACTGCTGACAGCAAATTCACACCTTCCATTAGAGCAAGCCTCTGATTGGTGGGTAGAATCAGCCCACATGGGCTTAAGACAAGGATGTGTGGAATCAACCGGGCCAGGCTGGGGCCGACTGGGGCTACCCGGCCCGGGCCGACCCGGTACAGATGGGAATGGCCCATTAGACAAGCATCTTCTCTGGTCATTTTTAAGTTGCTCCCATCGACATATAAATATTGGACAATGGGTTTCCATAGGCTCCAATAACACATTTTTGAAGATAAATGGGAGGTGGCCACCACCGCCATTTTGACCGTGTCACAGGTTCCGTCAAGCCCAGACAATTCCACAAAAGGGAAGAGGGGTGGAGCTGAGGGTGGGGCTGTAAGGCTAGATCAACTGAAGACACCCTGTCGAACTGGCTACAAGCTAACCTGAAGCTAACCCAAAGCTAACGCGGCGGTGGGGGCTAAGCTAATGGAGGTAGCAACCTAGCTACAACCGGAGTTAACTGTGTACAACACCAGAGCTTCTGAGTCAGAGATATGCCGGGCTGACCACTGGGTAAAACCGGGTGGAACACAGAGGTCTCCCGAGAGCTCCACAAGCCGGCAGCCGCACAGCAGACAAGTGCCGCTGCGATCTGAGATGCGCAGAGCTGCCGCTGGGGAGAACCGGGTGGAAAGGTTTCCATCCCAGAGCTCCCCAAGCCAGCAGCCCGCACAGCAGACAGAAGCCGCGATCAGACAGAGATGCGTTGAGCTGCGGGGAGGGGAGAACGGGTGGAAAACATCGGTCTCCCGAGAGCTCCACAAGCCGATAGTCGGAACCCAGCTCCACCAACATGTTATATTTCAACCCATTTTCTAAAGTGCAGCATTATGTTAAATGCACTGGGTTTTACCCTATTACATTTAAATGTCATGGTTAAACAGTACATGTTAAAATCTAAGCTCAGCTCGGCAGTGACCTAAAATACATAAATATAATTTTACTTACCGAAAAAAATGAAGTGGAGACTCCTTGGACGCTCTATTAGTGCAATTAATGCCACAGCAAGTCATTTTGTCCAACAATTGCACAAAAAATATCCAAAACAGAATACACAAACACAGAGACTCAAAATGCCGGAGCAGTTTCCAAGCCAGGCCGAGGCTCTGAGTACTGAGGCCTTTCCACGGAGCTAGCTCTGCGGTCACGTGGGTCTGATGCTCATTAATTATACAGAATTTTAGGCTTTTAATACACTTAAACAGAAGAGTGAGAAAAAAATTCACCCCCCTCAGAGTTGTCATGAGTGTAAACTAGATAATTTAAACAAAAAACATGTTTTGGTACCAGGCTGTAAACATGTTTATTTCTGCTGTGAAATTGGTATTTTTAACTTGGGAGTCAATGAGCATTTGCTCGCTTCTGACACCAGCCCCCAGCGGATGAGGGTGGAACTGCTATTTTTGGTACTTCCAGGATTGCTTCAATTTTAGAGCCGCATTGTGGGGGCTTGGTCGCTCCTCAAGACTCATTATTATTCAGTGGCTTTTAACACTGACTGATTATTCTTATCCACTCCTGTTTTGAAGCAGTGTTGCGTTTAATTTCTTTTACAATGTTTTGTATGTTAATTATGTCTGTATGTTTTTATCTGTGTGTGAAGCACTCTGGTTGACAGTGTTGTGTATAAAGTGCTATACGAATAAAGGTGGATTGGATAGATCAGTACTGGCTAAGGTTAGACACATCAGACATGGTGCAATCACAAAAATGAATGGAAGTCAATGGGGGGTCCTCACTATGATAGAAAGACAGGTGTGTGTGTGTGTGTGTGTGTGTGTGTGTGTGTGTGTGTGTGTGTGTGTGTGTGTGTGTGTGTGTGTGTGAGAGAGAGAGTGAAAGAGAGAGAATTTCTGTTGAAATCGATGTAGAATAATAAATATTAGTACATTACTATTGATGTTGGTCATTGTCTGGATCTGCTGCGCAGTTTTCACACTTCATCCTACCACAATATTGTTTTTACTTTTCCAGCATGAACGAGAGCTCTAATGTTTCTTCTTTTGTGTGTCACCATCTTAACGTTTACAGGAAAACCAGCTGAGGAAACTCTGGAGACACATCCTGACTGGGTACCCTCTTTGCACTTGGGCCACAATGAAGTGAAAGCAAACAACATTGAGAGATTTCTTCGTCAAGAAAGGCGACAAGACGTGAAAGTACCCACTACAACGCAGAATGTGGGAACGTGGGCTCCTCTTGTGGCAAAGTGCAAAACAAAAGACGAACAGGAGGGGGTACCTCACACAGTCGAGGTGGTGCTAAGTGATGATGAAGAACAGATGAACCAAGAGGATATTGGTCTTCTGCGAACTATCGATGATGAAAGTACAGAGGATGTAATGTCTGACCAACGTAGGCATGATGAAATCAGGAATCTGCTGGAGGAACACAAACATCTGGAAAATGAATTTGCTGAGCTCAAACTGGCAGAACAATACCTGAAGGATGATGAGAAAGTGAAATACTACACGGGGCTTCCGAATTTCTCCACCTTTCAGGTTTTGCTGCACAATGTTATGCCTTTTCTTCCTTTCCTGCCTCATGGAGAAGCAAAGCTGAGTCATTTTCAGATGGTCCTTCTCACCTTCATGCGTCTGAAGTTGGGCTTACCGATGGAGCACATCAGCGGTCTGTTTGGTCTGCAGCCTGCTACTGCTAATGCTGCGTTTGAGGACACCATTAGTGTTTTGTATGCATGCCTGGCTTCACTAGTGAGCTGGCCGGACAGAGAGAGGTTGGGGAGCAGCATGCCTCAACAGTTTATGGAGACATTTGAAGGAGTCTTTACTGTTATTGTTGAATGCTTTGATGTTTCTATAGAAACACCTTCAGATGTCGAGGCAACACTTAGGCTGAAATATCTTATCGGCATCTCTCCACAAGGAGTTATATCTTTCGTTTCCAGCGGGCTGACTGGGTGCATGAGTGATAGGGAAATCGCCCAGAGCTGTGGTTTACTCGACTATCTTCTCGTGGGTGATATCGTGTTGGCAGGTCGAGGGTTTGATGTGGAGAAAAGTGTGGGAATGATGTGCGCCGAAGTAAAAATGCTGACCAATGGTCGCCATCACCTGTTGCCAAAGACCGCAGAGGAAACTAAACGGGTTTCACATCTCAAACCCCAAATCCAGAAAGTCATCGGTGTTGTGTGCAACACGTACAAAATATTATCCTCAGACATTCCCGTCAGGATGATCGAGTCCTGCGAGGGTGAGAGCGTGACGTTTCTAGACAAAGTTGTAACGGTTTGTTGTGCTGTCACAAACATGTGTCTAAAGATGGGTTCAGTACCTGCAGGAGGCGAGTTCCTGAGTAGTCTCAGTACTCATGGATGAGTTTATGATCTAATGACCCTCACTTTCAGAGTCAGAAGACTCCAAAGCATAACATTCATTCATTCAGACACTGGTGATGATGATCTAAAACGTAGCCACAGCTGCCCTGGGGCACACTGACGGAGGCGAGGCTGACGAGAACAGGCGCCACCCGTCCCAACCACCACCAGCAGGCAAGGTGGGTGAGGAGTCTTGCCCAAGAACACAGCGGCAGCATTCTCTGGTCGGAGCCGGGATCGATCCTACAACCTGATTACCGGACAACCTGAGCTACTGAGTTACTGACTCATATTAAACTCTGCAACCATGGTCACTCGTAAATTAATGTTTTATTATTTACACTGTAAAAAAATCTGTGGAAAACCAGAAAATGTTCTGATAATTTTCTGTCTGGGTTCAGTTTTTCCTAATGCTGATTTCAGTAATAAAATATAAAACTACAGGTGAAATATCTGTGAAAGGTCAAAGCTAAATTCTCATGTCATCCATATTTGTAGTCTTATGTGTTTATTATTAATGTGTAAATCATATAAAGATGTTAGGAATTTATAAAAATTCTCCTTGAAAATACCTCAAAATCCTAAATTTAGTGCAAAAAATGGAAACCTTGTCTAACATGAGGGCAAAAGCATTAGCAGCAGTAACCAGAATAAATCAGTAAAGGTTTAAAACGGTATTTTTTTTAATGTTTAGGTTTCTGTTTAGTGTTTAAGATTTAAAAAAAGATTTTTGAGTTGTTTACTTAAATACTTCTGAGGGTTTCTGCTGAGATTATTTGGAATTTGACTGATTTTTACCAACACAACCCCTTAAGACAAGTCAGTAAATCAGCAACATTCATTTGCATCAGATGACACTAAAATGGAATAACCCCACATTTCAATCTTTTAGACATACAGCTGATTTTTTTGGAGGTGAAGTAGAAATCTGCTCATTTTGAACTTTTGCTTTTTGGTCTAAATGTTCTGGCTGATGGCCGTTTATATCGTTTTGTTGTTAAAGAAAGATGATAATTGTATAAATGTCTCATTTATCCTATTAAATTGTTGCTTCTCTCATTACTTTGTGATTTTTTATAGGACACATACATTCAAATGCCAGCTGTTTAAACATTTAAACTTTTGAGTTTTTAATCAACGTTTAAAGGCTGAAGTTTTCTGCTGTTTCGAATTTTTTGTACATTCTCCACCTATATTCTGAGCTTTATTACACTTGTTGGTGATTTTTGCTTCTAAATCTTTAAATACATTCAGCTCATTTTGACAGTTTAGCTTAGTTTCAGCTTGACTTTAGCTATTCAGCAGCTTCAGCCATCAGTTTCCAAATTTAGCATATGCTGCTAATTTCACAGTTCAGCTAAATGTAAAGATGAAACTGTTAAACTTGTCCTACTGAAATAACAGGTGTTTAGACAATTTAGCTGTCCAGATTTTTATACAATGTTCACAGATTTCAGTTTTCTGCTGTTTAGGATTATTTTTCTCTATTATTCACTTACTTTTTGTGCTATACTCGGTTGTTGGTGCTTTTTGCTTCTACATCTTTCAATACATTCAGCTCATTTTGACAGTTTTGCTTAATTTCAGCTTCAGTTCAGCTGTTCAGCATTCAAACAGCATTTCTGCAAGAAATGCAATTTATCTAGTTTAATTTGAGGTCACAACTATTACTAGACTTGATGTGACTTTTGAGATTGGAGCAATTTAAAATTGCATCAGTACAGTTCAGCCCTTAGGTAATTTAGTGCAGGAGACAACCCTGAGTTTGTCAGAATGCTAGTAGTTGAGCAAGCAAACTGGTAAGATAATTATTTAATACTTTTGGGAAAAACTAGTTAAAATTATCTAAAAATATCAGCTGGAGCAAACAAAGATGGATAAACGAATGGTGACAGAGGGAAGATGCTGCTGAAAGAAATTCAACTTGTTTTTATTTAGTTGTGCTTCCGTCCCAAACCCTATGGGTGATAGTTCCACGTAGTGCTACGGTCCATGTACAGTGGGGCAAAAAAGTATTTAGTCAGCCACCGATTGTGCAAGTTCTCCCACTTAAAATGATGACAGAGGTCAGTAATTTACATCATAGGTACACTTCAACTGTGAGAGACAGAATGTGAAAAAAATCCATGAATTCACATGGCAGGATTTTTGAAGAATTTATTTGTAAATCAGGGTGGAAAATAAGTATTTGGTCACTTCAAACAAGGAAAATCTCTGGCTCTCACAGACCTGCAACGTCTCCTTTAAGACGCTTTTCTGTCCTCCACTCGTTACCTGTATTAATGGCACCTGTTTGAGCTCATTATCTGTATAAAAGACACCTGTCCACAGCCTCAAACAGTCAGACTCCAAACTCCACTATGGCCAAGACCAAAGAGCTTTCGATGGACACCAGGAAAGGAATTGTAGACCTGCGCCAGACTGGGAAGAGTGAATCTACAATAGGCAAGCAGCTTGGTGTGAAAAAATCAACTGTGGGAGCAATTATCAGAAAATGGAAGACATACAAGACCACTGATAATCTCCCTCGATCTGGGGCTCCACGCAAGATCTCATCCTGTGGGGTCAAAATGATCATGAGAACGGTGAGCAAGAATCCCAGAACCACACGGGGGGACCTGGTGAATGACCTGCAGAGAGCTGGGACCACAGTAACAAAGGTCACCATCAGTAACACACTACAACGGCAGGGAATCAAATCCTGCAGTGCCAGATGTGTTCCACTGCTGAAGCCAGTGCATGTCCAGGCCCGTCTGAAGTTTGCCAGAGAGCACATGGATGATACAGCAGAGGATTGGGAGAATGTCACGTAGTCAGATGAAACCAAAGTAGAACTTTTTGGTATAAACTCAACTCGTCGTGTTTGGAGGAAGAAGAATACTGAGTTGCATCCCAAGAACACCATACCTACTGTGAAGCATGGGGGTGGGAACATCATGCTTTGGGGCTGTTTTTCTGTTAAGGGGACAGGACGACTGATCCGTGTTAAGGACAGAATGAATGGGGCCATGTATCGTGAGATTCTGAGCCCAAACCTCCTTCCATCAGTGAGAGCTTTGAAGATGAAATGTGGCTGGGTCTTCCAACACGACAACGATCCCAAACACACCGCCTGGGCAACAAAGGAGTGGATCCGTAAGAAGCATTTGAAAGTCCTGGAGTGGCCTAGCCAGTCTCCAGACCTCAACCCCACAGAAAATCTGTGGAGGGAGTTGAAAGTCTGTGTTGCTCGGCGACAGCCCCAAAACATCACTGCTCTCGAGAAGATCTGCATGGAGGAATGGGCCAAAATACCAGCTACTGTGTGTGCAAACCTGGTAAAGACCTATAGTAATCGTTTGACCTCTGTTATTGCCGACAAAGGTTATGTTACAAAGTATTGATTTGAATTTTTGTTATTGACCAACTACTTATTTTCCACCCTGATTTACAAATAAATTCTTTAAAAATCCTGCCATGTGAATTCATGTTTTTTTCACATTCTGTCTCTCACAGTTGAAGTGTACCTATGATGAAAATTACTGACCTCTGTCATCATTTTAAGTGGGAGAACTTGCACAATCGGTGGCTGACTAAATACTTTTTTGCCCCACTGTAGGTGAGGTCTCTCTATATTACTTGGATCCTGGTGAGCATAAGTCTGTTGTGGAGTTTTCTCCTTTTTATGATAACATCTCTTTTGCTCTTTGTCCAGCTAAGGTGGATCATGTTACATTCAATGTTCTGACCATGGTTCGAGTTGGTGTGGTGAACAGGGTGCTGCGTGAGTTGTCGGCAGATCCTGGTCTCAGGTTTCAACCAGTGTCTTACTCCTGGCTGGCTTGCTAATATGTAGGATTTGGTAAATTGAGTGCTTTAAGAGCTCAATATATATTACCTCTACTTATGACCAATAAGCTGTGATACTCTGTCTAAAAATAGAACATCAACTCTGCTTGGTCTTCACTGTGTTTATCAGAAGATTCTAGGATTCTTTCTTAAAGAATTGTTCACACTTCGTTTTGATTCACAAAAGAGTCAGGTTTATAAAAGTAAGAATTTATTTTACAAACAATTAACATGACAAGTTAACTAAGCATTTACTGTGATGGATGGAACTAAAGATGATGTATGAACCTACGTGTGAATGCTGTGTTAGTCAGAACTTCCTTATCTAGGAGAGCTGAGTTCTGGATGTAAAAGAATATGGTTTGCGTTAAACTATGAAGTTGGTTATCAAAACACATCATATGCAATCTGTCATGTCTACGTACCCACTCAAAGACCCTCGAGATAGATCCGGAATGTCGAAGTCCTCGAACTTCCAGGCACCGAGGTCTGTAGAAGAAACTGCGGCCCCACTAAACCGGTCTTAGATTTGTCTCCAGGTCACAACAGACGGATGGAACCGCGCTTCTGGGACTCTTAAGGAGTCTAAACAATATTAGCTTGTTCTGCAGGAACTGTTGCAGTATCAGCTTCGCAGGTGCAAAAAGATTTTGACGACGTGTCAAAAGCTTTGGTGGGTTAAAGAGGGTTTTGCTTCAGGTGGCCTGTCTGAAGCTTTCTCTAGAACTGAGAGATCACCCGAGAGTGATCCAGTTTTGATGTTCTCATGTTATGATTTGTGTTGCCAACCAAAGGCTGACAAGTTTGAGAAATATTACCAAGACAACTCAATAACATGCCTTCTTTGATATGGAGGCTCTGACTGGGGTAAAAGACTATTTATGTGTCATGAGTTTAACTTAACCTTATTTTGTCCTTGTGTGAGTGCAAATGGTTATGACCTTGTCATATAAACATGCTGAAACGTATTTCAATCACTGTAATCATAACATAACATTCATTTCACACTTCAGTCATTGAGCACATATTAATGAAGCATTTCATTATATTATAATTATTATAAGTAGCAATAAACAAACATTTATTTAATGATTATCTAGCTTATAAGTTGTAGAAGTTCATATCTGATTTAGGAAATCATTCTTTGACTTAGTAACTGATCCGAGCTGAAATGTTCCTTGTATGGAGGCATGAAGACCTGAAAGATTGGACCTTGAGGAGAGAATGTTATTGTTGACATGACATTATCTGTGTTCAGAGCTGCAGAGACTCTGAGCTCCAGCTGATGGGATGAAGGCAGGCCAATTTAAAGGGGACACATGCAGTCTTGTGTCTCATTTTTGACCAGGTTGAATGGTCAAACTGTACCTAAAAACTGACCATTGCTGGACATTACATTAGTAATCAGGATTCAAGTGACTTAGTTGGTCGTGACGATCTGCAGGTTTTACTTTCTCTGATCCAATGTTTTTTATGCACTTTTCATTTAAAGCTGCATAAACAAAACGTCCTTGCACAATGGTTCTGTTGGTAGCACTGTTATCTTGTAGCAAGAAGGTTGCAGGTTCAAATCTAGGCTTTCTTAGAAAAGTTTGCATGCTTCTTTTCCTCCTACAGACCAAAAACATGCGTGTTATGTGTGTCTAGGTGAGTGTGTGACTGGATGTTTGTCTCTGTGTACATTAGACATGTCCAGGCCAGGGTGTCCCCTGATGACTGCTGGAGATTTGCACCATTCCATTTTCCCCCCGGAGCCTTCATGAGTTCATCTTAAACATGACATCACTGCTCACAGAAAAGGGATAAAAAAAAACAACCTGACCGCTTAAAAAGAAATGTAACAAAACACGACATATTAGAAAAATCTAAACCAGTTACGTCTCCCTGGAGATGGGAGAGAACGAGTTCTTGAAGGCAGGGCGAGTCCTGATCTCCCTTCTTGATTTATTAAGCAGCTTTATTAAAACCTTTTCTCTTCCACTCATGTTCTTTGTGTGTTTGCTCCCGATCTGTCATTTCAGGTCTTCAAATCTCACGTCAGCCGCTGGCTTTATGAGGAGAGGGATTGTTTGTTCTGCTGCCCTACCTGCACCAAGAGGAGAGGCATCAAGGCTGAGGTCATCACCTTTAGCTTTGATTACAGCACACATTCGCTGTGGCGTTCGATAAGCTTCTGCAACTTCACCAGATTTGTTTCCATCCAATGTTGCATTAATGTGTCACCAGCATCG